ACAGTAGGACCTTAAGCCCCATTTCATTTCATTTCATTTCCAACCACTTTTCTTGATAGACAACTGACAATGGCTACTGTTCCTGCACGCCAATGTTTACACAGGCATAGAATTTTGGTTGAAGATTGTTTGGCTGTGCAATGTCCAATGCTAGCTGACAGTTCTCGTCTCGCTATAATATTATTTAAAAGTAGATAGTGGAAAGGGAATATGTTGAAATTACTCCATTCTGAGGGAAGTTATGTCTGATCGGGAATTGCGAAGTCTCGATTGTCATTACTATCGTTGTTGCGATCGTAAACAATGATTCGATCTTTCATGTCAATCGCATTTAAATCCGCTGAAAATTAAAACCATCCAATGGTCTCGAGAGTTGATTCGTGTCTTGGTTTGTTAATTAATGTCTAATTAATAATTTATATAACACATAAGGCCTAAAGAAAGACCCGCAATTGGCAGATTTAACTCTTGCATAAAGCTGAAAATTAAAACCATCCAATGACCTAGAGAGTTGATTATGGTCTGGATAAGTTAATTAATATCTAATTAATAATTTAGATAACATTTAAGGCCTAAAGAAAATCCTGCAATAGGCAAATTTAGCTCTTGCATAATGTATGTTTAATCATAGAACTAGAATACTAGTAGTATTCTAGTTCTATGGTTTAATATGATTAATACAATGACGTCATTATTAATGTGACGTCATAATGTATGTTTAAAAATTGAATTACCAACAATATAGATAGATAGGTTGATCATCCAATTAAAAAGTGGAATATCCGATGTACCCCTATTTAAAACATTAGCTTCTATCGCATTATCAGAACTCTCAGGCAAAGTAGAGATAGCTCTGGAACGGAATGTCGCGGAACACTTTAATTTTAAAAAAATACTTTAAAACCTGTAGCATCTATCCGGTTAACAAATAATTATCGCAATATCATAATGGTCATTGGATGGAAAGGGTTTACAATCATAGTTTGTTGACGCTGTACGACGGATTGACCGGGACGACGGATTGACCGGAGCGAAGATTATATTCGCCCTGACAGTATTAAAAGGGTTAGTACTTTGATTCTTTACCTAGATTTAGTGAATATATTAAACATTACATTTCCACCTTTTTCACCTGAGGTAAGGTGAGTAGATAATAAAATTTCCACCTTTTTCACCTGATATAAAATCTAGATTCCATTAAATGTTCAGGGATCGAGATATGACATGGTATTGATATAGAAGTCAATCATTGAAACTTTTCTCCATGGAGAATAATATATGCTGTATATTATAATTTAGATCTATGTTGCTTTGATTTGTTAAGAGGTTGTATATTATAATTTAGATCTATGTTGCTTTGATTTGTTAAAGGTTTGTATATTATAATTTAGATCTATGTTGCTTTGTGAAGAGGTTGTATATTATAATTTAGATCTATGTTGCTTTGATTTGTGAAGAGGTTGTATATTATAATTTAGATCTATGTTGCTTTGTGAAGATGTTGCGCCGCTTTTCCTCTCTAATCTCACGGGATTCCTCTTATTTAAAGTTTCAATTTCATATTTTTAAAATTTATTAAAATAAAGCCTTAAAATAGATGGTATCTATAAACAGTCCTACCTAGTTAAAGAATAATCCTATTAATCCTATAATTCACTATTGCCAGTTGAGAAATTGGCAAAAATATCATTTTCATCTTCAAATTCCAACGTTTGAAGATAGCTACTCCATGGTGGAGAATAGAAAACAAGGGAGGTAATGGAGGGGTAATTGTGTTATTATTTCCTGTGTAAATGAGTTTTAAGTGTGAGAATGACACCTATGATCGTAAAATAGTGAGTTGACAACCTATTGAGCAAAAGACAGAGAAATAATTGTTTTGACTTTCTTAGAAAATATGAAATTGTAACTTTAACAAGTTTTCACAAGTCAGCCCCAGCTTCGTGCGGGTAAACGAATTACTGTCTTTTATATAATAATTAAATTTGTTGTGTGACTTTCACCCACCCACCCACTCTTATTCCTAAATGTACACATTTTCTTTATTAACCAGACAAATATCTGTGATTTGCACCCACCCTCAGTTATTCCCTAAGTGACCTGATAAACGAGACTATTCGATATCGCATGCAATCTTGTCAACAAATTGTTTTTTTGTTTTTTTTTTAAAGCGCAGCAATAACCTGCAAAATCCTAGTCGATAAATTATTAACGAATATTAAAATATGTATCGAGAAGATGGGTTGGGGCATAGGATCTAAACTGTGGGCCTAAGATCATGGCCTCTGTCATTGGCTTCGATTCCCCGCTTGTGCTTTGCAAATAGTTGGAGAGAAGAGAGAGAGAAATGGGGTTTAACGTCCACTCGACACAAACTAGGTCATTTCGGGACTAACATATATCTCAATTTTATTTCAATAATTCTTTGGCGCGTAGGGGTCTTTAGCAGTGGGAGAAAACCCACGAGGATGGACAGGCGGCCCTACGCGTTATCGCGTACGACCGGGGAATCAAACCACGCCAGTTGACTCAATGACAGGCCTTATGATACAGCACGCACGTGCTAACCATTCGGCCATCCACACCCCCCCCCCCACCCCACGACAAATAGTTGGGTCGCCTGTCCAACCTCGTGGATTTTCTTCGGTTTCCCGCCAATCGAATAACTGATACAGAATTGAATTATATGTAAGTCCCGTATTGTGTCGAGAGGACGTTACCTACCCGCCCCCTCCTCCCAACCCTCTCCCTCTCTCTCTCTCTCTCTCTCTCTCTCCAATGTGCCAGCGTCTGTGTTTAAAGACAGGATTATCCAGGGAAGGGGGAAGGATTCAGTAAGATGTATGTCTTTGTTCTATTCAAAGATTGAACCGGCTTTGTTTTGTGAATCAATATTAAAAGGATTTTGCCATTAGGCATATTCTTACTTTAATTTGTTTTCTTGAATAAGGGGAATTATCCAATCAGTCAAGTCATTAGTCGATATTTAAAAGAAAATTGAATTCTAGTGTTATCAATACATATAGTAATCCCGTCTTAAAGCCTGGCTTTGGTTACCTCATTTTCAATAATATTCCTAATCTAAGAATCGTCAATCCTTAAATTAAAGGGGGCGTTTATTTATTTTCCGATCACAAGTTATGTACATCGTCTCTCGGTGACCCAGGAGTCTTCATATAGTAGTCTTGCTACTAGATTCTGTACATGAGCTTTAACGTCCACTCAACTCAAACCAGGTCGTTTCGAGAATAACATTTTTTTTCAGTTTTATTTTAATAATTCGCTAGCGCTTGGGGGACTTTAGCAGTGGGATGAAGCCGGAGAACAAGGGGAAAACCCATGAGGCTGGACAGGCGACTGTACTCCTTAACCCACAAGGCTATACAGCTGTCCAAAGGCATTGATCACATTTCCCGCCAATTATAGACACTACCCCCCCCCCTCACACACACCACCCCAAGAAGCAAACCAGTTGACCAAGGCCACCCTATCGAACATGTTATAGATCCGTATTGCTAGAAATTAATGTTTTACTAATCTACATAAGTCGATTATCAAGACAAATTTCGAACCATGTGGCTTTTGTCCCAAAAAGTTTATTTCCGACCCCACTCTCGCGACTAAAAGACTTCACGCCAATTTTCGGCATTGTACCCTTCCAACAATGAAATGAAATGAAAAGGGGTTTAAAGTCCTACTGTTCTGCTCCGGACCAGACGAATGAAGACGGGGATACGCCATACAGTGTGCTATGAGGGAAATTTTGCACGGACAGTGGCACTATGGCCTACTCTTATATCGAATTCCAACTGCCAAGGGATCTTTTACGTGCACGCCAATGAGTACACGGGACCTCGGTTTTTCGTCACATCCACTGTACGTTGTCCCTTGCCAGGCCCTCTGACAAGGGGGGGGGGGGACGAAGTTGGGAAATCTGGATGAACTTTCTCGGTCCAATGCAGGGACCTCCTGGATAGCGAGCCAACGTCTTATCCGCCTAGCCACCGTGGCTCCCCCTACCCACAAAGCAAAAAAGATTCCCATTGATCATCACAGCTCCCCCCCCCCCCCCTTCCGAGTCCATACACAACACAAAACAGTTATCAAACAGGGTCATAATCAACATTTCCACCCAATTTAAGACATTGAAGATTCCCGCCATGCTATATTTGGAGGAAGTGGTGCCTATCAAACCTGAACGATCACTTCCGGAACGTTTACATCTATCTCAGATCTGCTCCTGGACCGCCTGACTAATTAACCACTGGTCCAGTTCTAACGTCAAAGTAGGGAGATTGGCGTGGGGATGGGCGGGTTAGCTAAGTACAACATTTACAAAGGCAAACGGTCCTTTTCCGTGGATGTTTTGACAGTTCTAAGTTCCCGTCCATTATGCAGATGACCATGTCCTAATTTCAGTTGTGTCCTGTGTCAATTGGAAAACTATACACAAAATTATACACAACAAAAAGTTTGGAAATTTTTATTGAAGATGTGAATCAGATTATTTTCCTCTATACTGAAAGATAAAATAAAATATATATCATAGAATAAGAACTCTGTAATTTTTATATTGTTATGGTATCAGGTATACACAGGTATTCATCTACCTTTTATGATATTCTAGAAAATCAAAATTATCTGGTCCAAACTCCCTCACTGTGATACTTTCAACAACAATTTAAACACTAGTATAATGGTTGGGATACATCAAATAGTTATTCTTTTTATGTCTTCAAAAAGGTTTTTTAACCCTTAAAACGATAACAGTAAGGAGGGGGAGGGGTTATTTGACCATCAAAAAAATCGATATTACTGGTATTACTGGAATTGTTATAATGCGCAGGGTTAGGGTTAGGGGAACAATTTTCCTGTGAGCTAAAAGAGTATGATGGAAAGTAGACGAATTCTGAGATATAAAAATGCTATAACATTTAAATATTTTTTACAAAATGAGTTGATAAAACAATTGTAATAAAAATCTAATATCTATTTCTTACGTCTGTAAACACTGCCTTGTATTCGGCTTTGGTTACTGATCCATTGCCTGTAATTAAATACAGATCATATCAAAATGAAGTTTCTAGATATCACTAATTTAAAGCGAGACTTCCGGTATAAAACTAAATTAAAATACAATTATTAAAATAATATATGGATTTACTAGATTTGTTCGTGATTCCAATCGAACAGCCGTCAAATGAAGTAAAATGGCAATTTCTGGCCATTCCTGCTTCTATTCCTACTTGATCCTTGAACGGGAAGATATCGACTCATCTATTATATTATAAATTGAAAACAAGTATAGCGACTGTTTAGAGCGTTAACTTTTTAATATTTAATTATTTCTGTAGGTAATGTTTCTGATTATTAGACTGAAGATTAGAAGTAGGTATGGTTAGATACCACTGGACCTCTGTTATTATTGAAGTAACAAACTTACCATTGCCATCCAATTCATCGAACTTGCTTCGTAATTCAGCCGCATCCACTTTTCCATCCCCATTTGAATCGTATTTTTTTATTATAGCTTTGGCGTCAGCTGTGCTACCTTAAGAAAGAGCATCGAGAGTATCTTGAGACACATAGTTTAGCGGATAGATTGTAGGCTCGGGTGGTTGAGTGTGCTTTAGGACATAAGATCTACCACTGACACAAATGGCGTGGTTTCGATTCTAATCTTGAACGCGACACACAGTAGTGTCGCCTGTTAAAGCTCATATGTTATTGCCGAAATGACCTAGTTTGTGTCGACTGGACGTTAGACCACCCTCTCTATGTTAGTCCCGAAATGACCTAGTTAATTCATATATTTACAGTAGGCCAACATGACGTGCTGGTACATGGAAATGGTTTCAGGAACAGTAACTATGAACATGATGTTGATATATTTCTGAGGTAACGACTCTAATCTATCACGTGGGATGATAAACTCCATTTTGTGCGTCATTAAAGTCACAATTATTTCAAGTAGAAATAGTACATACCATCCAAATTATTGAAAAAAGCTTCAAATTCTTCGTATACCAATTTCTTGTTACTATTTGTGTCAACATCTGAGAATTCCTGGCCAAAACTGCAACTATATACAGAAAATGTACTCATATTATCATCTTGGTAAAAAAAAAAAGCACCATTTATTAAATTTTCATCTATTTTTAATATTATTAGAGATTACTAATGGTTGTAGAATAAACTAAATAGGGTGTCGCAATAATATCTTGTTGTAAAGTAAAGGTGACGTCGCAATAATATCTTGTTGTAAAGTAAACTAAAGGTGACGTCGCAATCAAATATTGTTTTGCAGTAGTAAACATAAAACACGTTACCTGACAAGAACCAGAGAAAACACAATAACTGTAATTATGGTACTCATCTTGATCTTTAACTGAAAATATAAAATATATAATGATATGAACTAAGGAGAATTCATTCAAATCATGACAAATACACAATGAATACAATAAATTAAACCCGGCATTGTTTAAATATCCGATAATGTCAAAACGTCCGATTGTTCTAAACAAACATTTTGTACAAAAACCGAATTGTTCGGTTCGAAGATTTACTGAAACTAACCGAATCCGTCCCACGATGCTTTTAAAACTACTTCTTACTGACGTCATAAAAAATAAATGTGTAGAATTATTAAGAAGACGGAGCTTGGCTAGAATAGATTGTTATTTATGGTTGGTCAGACAGAAGAATCATACAGCTACAGGATTAGCTAATATAGAAATAATTGATGTACAATTTTTTTAGAAACTACTTAGATTAATTATTTATTAGTAAAGTGATTAAATCTATTATATATGATACATAATCGTATAAATAAACAACTTTAAAATTGGGGGGTATTGGACCAAAACACATTACGGTCATGCTCGTATGATCGACTTTACGGCTTTCTGTTCTATAATTACCCACCCTGATCTGAAAACCTTGTGAACGCAACAGTGACAACAGTTTAAAGTAAGGGGGTAGGATTAGATGCATCCTACAGATATTCACCATTTTAGCTGATGTGTGGGCGTATTTCCTGCACGACCTACATATTCACACATGTTATAAAACGCATATTACCCCAAAGGTATCAGTTCTTTAATGTTAATTGATTAATTAATAACTGAAAAATTCACCCAATTTTTTGCGAGATAAAGCAGCCCTTATCGTTTATGCTGATGAAAGTAATCTTCAGTACAAAATAGATCTCTGCCTTATACATATTCCACAAACGCAGGAATGTATGATCCATTTCATTATAATCAAAACGGTACTTTACCAGATTGCTGTACCCATCCCACCCCACCCCGACCAAACAATAAATATAGCTTACCTATGAAGTATCTGTTTACAATCTGCCTTGAATCAGTGATTTGAATAGCATAGCGATGGTACCTTCTTTATATAGGCTACAAGAGATGAGTCACGGGTAGTAATAATTGAACACGTATTTTATCATATCATGGTCTACTGGATAAAGTCATTAGTCACAGGCAGTAACAGGTGAACACGTATTTGGGTTTTTTTTTAAAAAAAAACTTTATTAACAATAACCTTTCGTATTAAACACGGTTCAGCAGGAATATATGCTGAAAGTTTATAAAATATGTCAGCAGATCAATACATCACGTGCAGACGTTTTAATTCTATTACATATATTAATCAATAATTTTAGTAATACGTAGTTTGGAGACAATCATATAAGCATTATAATATTCTATTAATAAAACTATTTTCTTTTTTTTCAGAAAATTATCCCGTAGTTTAATTCTTCGGTAAGGGTTTTAAGAAATCAATTATTTTTTTTTTAGTTTTTTGATCAGATATGTAATAAATTTTGTAAATGAAACAATGATTAACAAGTAATTTAATTCAAAGTAATTTGTATCGTATTCTTTGAAACCCAACACAAGATCTTTTATATGGAAGCCCGAACAGCTCTTTATTTAGTGTTCTTAGTTCTTAATTCTTAATTCATAGTTCTTAATTCTTATTTCTTCATTTGTTGTCGTATTTCGACATTTGTACACTTAAATTAACATTTGTATCTTAAAATAACATGTTCCGGCTCGATGAATTTCGAGAAATGATTTTGAAGAAATGTTTTTGAAGAAATGTTTTGCATGATTTGTATTTGGGAATTTGTTTTTCGAGATTTGTTTTTCGTTGTATGTCTGTGATGAAATGTAAATGTAGATTATTTATTTTGATTTACTAAAATAAATTTTATCTTTATAATAAAATACAATTAAATTAAACAAAAATGCATTTTACAACACAAATTTCTGATTTGTAAAACAAATATTGATTTCAAGATACAAATGTTAATTTAAGTGAAAAAATTTCGAAATACGACAACAAATGAAGAAATACGAATTAAGGACTATGAATTAAGAATTAAGAAAACTGAATAAAGAGCTGTTTTGTCTTCCATACTTTTCAATGTTAGTGGTTTATCGGTGTGTAGTTTTGATAGGAGATGACATATTTTTTCCCATAATAGTTTAAGATATTTACAATTTACAAAATAACGATCATAGTTTTCTTCTACTGAACAGAAGTTGCAAAGGATGCCATCGCTAATCTTCCATTTGCATAATAAATTTTGATTTGGAATAATACATTGAAGGAGTTTCCATCTAAATATTTTTAAGTCATTGTCTGCTAAAAACTTAAATATAAAAGTATATATATAGGATAGGTACAGACTGTTTTTCTTTTTGAAGTATCGCAAGCAATAATTTATTCCAGTTGGTTTTATAAATTTATAATCAACCAGTGAATTGTATAATTTCCTTGAAGTTATTTCCATATGTTCCACTTCCTTTCCCTTCCAAGTTTTAGACGAGTTTTATGTATACATAATTTACTTTTATAAGCGCATTCAATGGAGATAATTTCTAGCCATTTTGGGGGTAAATAGAAAATCTCCTACGAGTCTTTTTTGATATCAAAAAATATCAACACAAGTCGATAAAGTAAAAAACGAGGCTATGTTACAACCCCTATTGTAATAACAATCCCTATTGTAATAATAACCCATATTGTAATAAATGTAATAATTGTAATAAAATTTCAATTAACCCCTATTGTAATATCAACCCCTATTGTAATAAATGTAATAATTGTAATAAAATTTTACTTAATCCCAATTGTAATATCAACCCCTATTGTAATAATTGTAATTAATGTATTTTACCACACAATAAATTTAAAAGTCTATGGATTTTGATAACCATTTGAATATCAATATATAAGAGAGAGAGAGAGAGAGAGAAAAATAGGGTTTAACGTCCACTCGACACAAACTAGGTCATTTCGGGACTAACACATGGTTCAACTTTATTTCAATAATTCGCTTGCGCGTAGGGGTCTTTAGCAGTGGGAGGAAACCGGAGGACCCGGAGAAAACCCACGAGGTTGGACAGGCGACCCTACTCCTTGTCACGTACAACCGGGGAATCGAAACCCCGCCAGTTGACTCAATGACAGACCGTATGATACAGCGTGCTAACCATTCGGCCATCCACCCCCCCTCCCCCAATATATAAAAGTACTGGTATGAATTTATACTGTATAGACTATTATGAAATAAAACCTCATCGAAATCATGTCTCAAAGCCTTTTGGGGAATTAATAAAATGGAAAGTCAACCCCTATTGTAATCAATGGTATTTTAAATAAAAACGTGAAGTAGGTTCTCTGAAAGATCGGTCGTCTGGTGATTTTGAACATATTTTCCGTATGCATATCGGATAAAATAATCGCCCTGATTGCATTATTTATTACAATAGGGGTTAATATTACAATAGGGGTTACACGGTACAACCCCTATTGACATAACATTTCTGTCAACCCCTATTGTAATAATTGTAATAAATGTGTTTTGCCATGTCAATAAAATCGACACCTAACTTTAAATGTCTATGGATTTTGATCACTATATCCGTATCAATATATGTGACAATCAATGTCTACAATCAGGCAATGTGTACAATGCCTGAAATATACCAGTCAATGTGTACATTGCCGGGTTAGGGTTAGGGTTACAAAGGCATTGTACACATTGCCGGATTGTAGACATTGACTGTACATATATAAGATAATGGTATGCCTTTATACCGTATAGAATATTATGATACAAAACCACTGAAAACATGTCTCAAAACCGTATGGAGAATTATTAAAATTAAATGTCAACCCCTATTGTAATCAATGAAATTTAAATAAATGTAAAGAATGTTCTCTGAAAATTTTGTCGTCTGAGGATTTTGAACATCTTTTCCATATGCATATCAGATAAAATAATCCCCCTGATGTTTAAATCCTCCTCTACAGTTAGACACATTTATTAATTACAATTTAATTTTAGTAATTCTCCAAATGTAATAAATGTGTCTAAGTGTAGTGAAGGATTTTTAAAAAAAATGCTATCAGGAGGAAGATATTTTATCTGATATGCACACGGCAAAGATGTTCAAAATCCTCAGACGACAGATAGTTTAGAGAACATACTTTACGTTTATTTAAATATCATTGATTACAATAGGGGTTGACATTCCATTTTAATAATTTCTCAAAACTCATTAACGGCTTTTAATCATGTTTTCGGTTGCGTTGTTTCATAATATTCTATGCAGTATACCATTACTCCTATATATTGATATTCAAAGTCCATAGTTTTTTAAATTTAGATGTCGAATTTATTGTATGGTAAAATATATTAATTACAATAGGAGTTGATATTACATGAGGCGGAGATTTTATTTATCACCCAATCCTATCTTACATGCACAAATATAATTATTTGCTATAGATTTCACGTTTACTGAACCTGAATACATTACGGCGTAGTGATACATCATTTTTTGACAGCAATTCAACCATTGCAAAGTCCTTTATTTTGATCCAGTGTTTCCATCAAGGTCAAATAAATAAAAATAGTTCATTTTTAATAAAAAAAAAAAGTTACTTTTAATAAAAAAAAAAAGAATGTTCTTTGAAAATAAAAAAAGTAGTTCTTTTCAACTGACCAATATCGCAGTAGATTATTAAATTTATCACATAAGCGATATCTACTGTAGAATGTATTATTGGGGGATAAACATGTTGGGGGGTGGATGGCTGAATGGTTAGCGTGCGCGCGCTGTATCATAAAGTCTGTCATTGAGTCGACTGGCGTGGTTTCGAATCCCCGGTTGTACGTGGCAATGAGTAGGGTCGCCTGTCCAACCTCGTGGGTTTTCTCCGGGGCCTCCGGTTTCCTCCCACTGCTAAAGACCCCTACACGCAAGCGAATTATATAAATGACCTAGTTTGTGTCGAGTGGACGTTAAACCCCATTTCTCACCTCTTTCCGATAAACATGTTTTAATCGTATTGAATTCTGGTATCCAGTTGGATTTGTTCTGTTGTTTGTTCATAATAATTTCTAGTGAAATTTGGTTTTTATCATCAAGAATATCATTTAGATGAATTATTTTACTATTGATCCAATTTTCGTAAATTAGACTTTCCAAGTTTATTATAAAATTTTAATGATATAATCTTCCAATTAGCGCAATTTCGATCTAACCATTCAGCCCCCCCCCCCCTCGTAAATTAGTCTTTCCAAGTTTATTATGATATTTTAATGATATAATCTTCCAATTAGCGCAATTTCGATCTAATAATCTTTTGGCCCATATTGCCTTTAATGAATTAAAGTAACTTTCAATGTCAATCATATTTATTTCACCATTTTCATATTTACCAATTAATGTAGCTCTCTTTATTTTCTAATTTTTACTATTCAACAAAACCTCAAAGCAAGATATTTCTATTTCTTTTAGATCATCTTTGGGTGCAACACAGGCGCATGCCAAAAACGTGAATATTGGCATTATAATAGTCTTGATAATAAAAATTCTCGCTATCATAGTTAATTTTCGTTTCTGCCAATCGCAATCTGGTTAAAACAACAGATCCTATTTCGTTTCGTTTTTTATAGCTCAAAATTTCCCTTTACTTGTCTTTACTATACTAGGATCTAGAAGAGTTGTTATCATAGACGTAATCCACTAGAAACATCAATGCTGATTGGTTAATCAAATGGCTGACGTCATCGGTTTAAAAGCCGTTCGTACGACCCCCTGACGCCACCTCCCAAAACAACTGGTCAGATCTTCGTGTAGTGTAGGCCATCGAAAGTATAAAAAACGAAACGAAATATAGATTTTTATTTTAACCAGATTCTGCCAATCGTTAATTATTTTTTTTTTTTTTTCATTCTTTCTATTTTGTTTTCCCAATTTAGCATCTGACATGCAAGTTTGTCTTGTCCACAATATAAACCCAACACGTTGGTTGGTTTATTGATTCAGTTTATTCCACTAATTTTATCTTTACAGTT